CACGTGGATCGTTCAACGTTGGCCAAGCACGTCACAATGGCATTTCTATTAAAGTACAACGCAGTGGTGAATGTGAAGTATGCAGAGAATAATTCAAGGTTCGCAGAAATTCATAATCACGGTTTAGAACCGTTTGCCAAAAGTAAATGCTTGAATTTCTTGGTAACAGCTTGAAATAAATTATAAAGAGTCTTTGTTGCACACGAGATTGTTTACTCCCATTTTCGCGATATTTCTGCACCTGAATAACAACAATTAATTTTCCTATGCAAATATGCAAATGCTACCTAAACTGTGCTACAAAATCAGAGCACGCTTCACCATAATGCACGCATTAAGAATACACTCCACAAAATAAAACGAATAAGCAAAAAATCTTTCAATAACATTCTTTAATAATCATTAGAATTTTACAATTGCAACGAATTCAAGTTTCCGCACCTCCGTTTAAATTAAGCATAACAAACTTTCACGATTACACTTGAAAATAGAAATTTCCAAAAATGACAACTAAATTCCAAACTGTTATTTCAATCGATCGCCAAATTTTATTACTAAATTAATAATTTCGAAAATTTTCTTAGCAACGAAATTTCCAACAATCCACGAATAAAACTCCAAGCAAAAGAAATCCTGAATTTTTCGCCAGGTATGACTTAGAAAAAGGAAAGAAAATGATCTAGAACGAGCAGGTTACTGTCAAACGATCAAGAGCTCGCTTTCGATCTCTCTAACGTCGCTCCGGAGAAACTTTTTTCAAGGAAAGTTTCGCATCACCTGACCACCCCATGATTACCTGTTGGTTCGAGCCACTTGCACGAAGGGGACAAACTAGTTCCTCCAGTTTCGAAACAAACTCCGCTAATTCGAATCCAGTACCGGTACGACGCGTGTGCACCGCTTAGGGCGCTTAAAATATCGGAACAAATACTCCGCGGGGTGTCATAATCCGTGGCGGGACCTGTCCAACGAGATTTCAACGCTCGCGATATCCTAGATCGCCCGCGATATCGGCCACAACGAGGGATCTACGATCTCAGCGTTAGACGTTATACCGCGATCAACTAGTACGGAATTCAATCTATTCGTGAAATATGTGGCAATTAAGTTGAACAGTTTCTATGCTCTTTTTTTTTTTTCACTGCCCGCTAATACTTCACACTTTGGATTTTTTATGGGGGAATTAATCGGTAATTGGTTTATGTGGTTACTGAAGTGTTTGTACGATTTAGGTTGAGTACGATTGATAGAAAAATTGGGATTCGTTTCAGAGTTTAATTATTCAAAACAGGAAATCAGTGTATTAAGTATTATTATTTTGTGGAATATTGCAGTAATGAAAATTAATATAGCCTTTTGTACAATTTGTCCAAAATGAAATATTGAAGCGAGTCACTTGTTACTTATACTGCAACAATAAAAACTGTACAAAATGTTTGAAATAAAACAATTTGCTGCTTTAGTGTCGGTGATGTTAAGAAAGTATATTAAACCCCTTAATTCTTGTATAATAAATTTTGTACTTAATTGTATTCACAATTCAAATCCCTGAAAAAATCAAATCGCGCAAAAATAACACATTTTCTGCAACATCCCACAATCGACAAAATAAAAATTCCGACACAATAAAAACCTAAACCTCCCAATCAAAAACTACATACACACTAAACTTCCTATTTTCTCCGCAAAATAACACCAATCGCCTAACAAACAAAACCTCGACATCCTCAAACCCCCAAAAACAACAAAGACATTGCCAGAAGGATAAAACTTCATGTCTCTTAACCAAAAACGAACGCATAGTCTGCAAAAAAAAAAAAAGTCAACAATCACCGTTCGAAAAATCGTACACTGTACCCAAAACAAAGAAAAAAACAAAAAAGAGACGACACATATTCGGCGAACCTAAATTCCGCGCGACTCATCCGAAAAAAGAATACACCGCGACGAGGAAACAAAAATCACGAAGGATGGAAGCAAACGTCCGCAGGAGTATTACGCAACCCCGTATCTCGGTCCGCTGTTATGGAAGCAAACGAATTCGAAATCAGACGTTGGAGGAGAGCGACGAGTCAGTCAGCACCGGTGGCTGTCGTGGTCCTTTTTAGAGGTGGGCCGCGCGCGCGGTTCAAACGCTCGGCGAAGCTTGTAATCTGAAGAGGAGACAAGCCGCGCGATACACGGCCTGTATGACAGCACGTTACGCTTATGAATAACGTGTCGAGAACAGGATCCTGACGAGTCGTTGACGTCTAAATTTCCGACGATCGCGACGACCATGACGACCGTGTAAACCCGCTACGGAAACGTCGTTTGTCGAGTAAAGACTGATCGAGCGCGCGCTCTCCAGGCTAGCGTTCTTTTTCCCTCGAGAAACTTCTACGCGGTTGAGACAATGGCTTTCTCGTGAGCATGTTAACGATTACGGGGAAAGAGGTTCTTTTGTTGCGTGAGAAGTATTATAATGGAGAACGAGGAGGCAGTTTTGGACGTTGGGAGGTGAAGAGGAGAGTCCGTGAAATTGCGAATTAACCCTTTAACCTACAACAACGTGTCAGAGATTCTGGTGAAGGTGCGAGAAAAATAGTTACATCGGTAAGAAAAGTTCGTTGCAATTCTGTCTCTCGTTTCAATTTGCAAGGCTGAGGATTGCTAAATGTAATTAACCTGACAGATTAGCTTCGGTTACCTGATACAGGATTACCAAAATAGTAAATGGCTGACGCTTAGACGCATAGTTAAGGGGTTAACCCTCTGTAACGCGATGTGAATTGGAAGTTGAGTATCCATTTTTTTCGTTTATAAAGTTTTAATGAATTCTAATTTTTCTTTTCACGAACGAGGAAAAATCGGGTCACAGAGGGTTAATGGGAAATTAGTATCAGTGGGAAACTTGGTTGAATAGTGCCTCTTTTTTTTTTGTAAACATTTAGAGAAATGATTAAATGAATTTAGAGTACAGGTATTGCAACGGAAGAGCAGTTGGTTACGTGTAAGTGTTAATTTTGATAGAATAAAATTTCAGGGCTATGTATTACCACAGAATTAAACGATTTTGCATGTAACAGAGATTTTTTCGAGCAAGAAAAATTATCACGTAATGTTATCGATTAACTTTTATTTTTATTTTGTTGACGAGTGTTATTTAACGAAATTAAATACCTAACGATTTGTGTTTTTGTAATACGAGTTATAAACAGCGTTTTCATTGCTGACATACTATAAAATGTGCGGATTTTCCAAACGACACCGGTCAATGTTTCCTTCCCTCGAAAAATCTTAACTCTTACATTTCTAAATTTTTATGAAAAAATTACAGCAATAATTTCTAAAACATTTCCCTTTGCATTTAAGGTCACAGTAACGATTTAAAAGTGACATAAATAGAGTCCGTAATTTACTCGTAAATATCACACAATATCTGGAAAATTTTTGCTGATCTACGAATATTTCCTTCACAAGGTGTAAAGAATTCCTACTCTTCGCAAATGACAACGAATTCTTAACCTACTTAACATTATTTCTATAACGAGAGTTTCTTGCAGCATGTCACGAAGAATACCGTCGCTTGCAATAACGCAATTCTCCTTTTCATTCGAAGCAAGTTTCAACCTAACTACCATTGAAAGAAAACATTCCAATCAAAATTTCCATCAACGATTCTACGAGTTTAAACTCTAAAATTTCGTTCTATCAATCTAAAGATCATCACAGATTAATCATTCAACACGCGACCCAAAACTAACTACAACTCGAACGTTCATAAGTTCTCCACACGATTTAAAAACCAAACCTTCTAACAGTGTCCACTTAAAAACCTAATGCACCTACATTTTTCAGAAATTTAATCACCTCTGAAACTGTCTCGAAACATTTCACGTTACAAATATCCCAAATTGTCATACTTTGCCTCCAGTCGAACTGTATTCCTCCCAAAATACCAGCAAAGAAACTGATCATTGACTGATTCACTGTCGAGCGTTTCTTAACTGAGTATCCGTTCACGTCACCTAGATTGCCATGCTTTATTAAAGTGATCATTTCTAAAATATTAATTTCATTGTCGATGCATCTTGTCTATTAAGCTTTTCTATTGTTATCAAACGTAGGCGTAGTCTTGCAAATACCATCGATTCGACATTTACCGTGGCATAAACGGAAAGTTCAATGTCGGTCACTGATCATCATTCTGTATACCTAAGAGCTAGACTAGTCCTGCACTCTAATTTTACAATTGAACAAAAATATCGAACGATTAAATCTTTATTTATTGCGTCGCGTAAATAGCTCCTTGTTGCTTGAATAATGCAAAGATGATGCTACATGAAAAATTGAATCGAAAATATAGAATAAAATTTTTTAATAAGAGGTTTAATTTTCAAGAAAATTGCACGCGAGCATTTAACCATCTCTCGGCACTGTACTTGTATTAATAAACGATAACAACGTCGTAGTATCGGTAATACAATAATTAACGATTTCCTTAATTGAAATGTACATTACTGAACGAAACGTTGAAAATGACATTCGTGGTAACGCGTACAGATCTTTGCTCTTTGAATTGGAGAATCGTTAATTATATTTAACTACAGATTTATCTTATCAGATCTTCTGTCTACACTATTCCATTACCAGTTTGCATCAAATCTCTAAATTCAATATTCTCAAAAACAGAGCCTCCTAGGAGAAAATGATATTCCACATTTCCAGTTCAATTTTTCACACGTGACACCCCGCACAACTTAAGTTTAACAACAAAACACAGCGTCACGTTCGTCTGCCTCTGAGATACAACATTAAAACGGCGAACATACCAAAAATTGTCAATTCAATTTTTCACTGAGAATCGCCACATTGCCTCCCGCAACGTGACACTTCACGCAACTCAATTTTAATAACAAAACACCGTGTTACGTTCGTCCGCCTCCGAGACACAGCATTTGAACGACGAATATACCAAAGAAAACACAGAATAAATAATGGGAAAAAATGTCACTCACCCTGTCGTACTGATGCGTCGCCGTGGCCGCGGAGAAGGATTGAAAAGGTGCCGGCCTAGCCGGGCTGTGGTGGGCCGCATGCGGATTCGCGTGGGGATGGGTGTGCGGGGCCGCATGAGGGTGGGTCGGGTGCGGCGGTGGCGGTGGCCTCTGGTAGAGGTAAGGATAATATTGATACATCACCTCGGAACAGCTCATCACCCCGCCCGGGCCCGGCACCCCAGAGCCGGCCTGCCGACTTGCGTACCCGAACGTCGCACCACCCGTTCGTACACTATCTCTTGTTTCCACTTCGCCCACTCTCCTTCTCTCCCCTGCTCACCCTCGATTTCCGCCCCCTTTTTTTCCTCGATCGGTTCGCGCTAGTCGTCGCACGATCCTTCGATCAAACGTGGAACCAGTATCGAAGTGTCAGGCTGATCCGCGCATCTTCACGGTAACGCGGTTTCTCCGTCAACTGGCCAAAGTCACACTTCCTGTTGTCAACGTGTCGTCGTAGAGTACCGCGAATTGGAACGATTCTACGAAATGTTAGAGTTGTTTTTCTAGCATGTTAACAGAGATGTTCGACACTCTTTTTGATAAGCAGAAGCAGCTTCGACGAATGTAAACACAACGTTCGCGAATGTCTTGTTTTTTTCTTCCCTCGATACACAATTTACTATACGGTCACCGTTTCGGGGAACGACGACGGTTCGGGTAATTCACTAGAAATCACGCGTGACACCGAGTCGTATATTTCGACGTGCTTCCGTGATGAAACTGACAACGCGACACACAGCTGAATGGGGAGGTAGATGTAAGGTTTGCTTTGCAACCAGTCTTTTCCACGTGTCGCCTTTCCTCGAGCAACGAACGAAGGACAACCTCGCTTTTTCTTCCGTTCCTTCCGGCTATCGGTTGTCCACAATGTCACACGGTTTCCTTCGTCCAACCTTCTCAATCGATCTAGCTCAAACTTCTTCTTCGACCAACAGTAAGTTCTCCTAACGTATCTTCTCAAGATCCCCGGGAGCACTGATCCAATTGCGCGCGTGTGTCCAAATGGTGTCTTCTAAACCATCCGGTAACTTGGTTCTCCACTGATCTATCCAATGACAACTTCGTAGACACTGATCGAACGAACGAACGAAACTTGCGAAACGTCCTCGGACACACTACTGTCAAGTTCAAGGTTGAACCGATGCTTGTACAGTATATATCTGTTATCGGTTTGCAGTATCGTCGAACAGCTAATCGCAAGGAGCTACCCTCGCGGCGAGAGAGACGCAACCGGACCGTATCGTGGCTGGTGATGTGTCTCTGATGGGCGAACACAGACTGAACCCCCCGGCGTCGTGTCACCCTCACCGTAGACCGGTCGGCCGTCTTTTTCCAACTGGTCGTGCCGCGCCGCTCCGTCTTTTTCACTTGCCGCGTGTTCACTCCTTCCCAACGAGGGTCAGGGCCTGGCCTCCCCCTTTTCGTTCACCCCGACAGAGGGGCAAGCAGGAAAGGTAACGCCTCCTGGTAGTTCCACCATCGGCCAATCACCTTGCGGGAACAGCACGTCCAATGAGGCGACGGTTGCCACTCCTACGCTTGCTCGTCTCTGTATTGATCCCACAATGAACCCGACTGCTGTCGCGGTATTAAGAAGTTCCTACTCGGGTTAAACCATCCCCCTCTTCCTCCACCTCCTCCTCTTCTGCCACCTCCTACACCTCCTCCTCTTGCTCGTCGCAGACCTGCTCTCTTCTCCCTCTCCTCTTGGCACTGCCTTGGCACAGCTACTGCCTTCCCTTTCTGTCTCTCCTCTAGCTGCTTCTTCCTCTTCTTCTCTCTATTCTCTCTCTGGCTCTTCGTTGTTGCTTGCTCGGTCTGTCTGTCCGTTTGGCTCTGTGTCCGTAGGTAACTCGGTTCGCCACCCTTTCGCCGCTTCCAACCCCAAACCCGGACAGGCTCAGCCAGGCCGCGCGCATAATGAGTCTTAATTAACAGTTTCGCGGTGTTTTGGGAAGCTTAATTTGCCGCGCTGAGCAGAGCCTTCGAGAGGAGACGAAAATCTCGGGCGAAACGACGATTCGGTTCTTTTCAACGAGGATTGGGGTGACCGATAGGTTTGGATGATTGTGGAAGTGTTTGAGGAGTTTTGGGGGGGTTTAGTGGTGGTGTGAGTATGGAGACTTTTAGAATGAAATGTTCCTATCTGTGTTCGATCGTTTAAGCAGAAATTTTTGTTGTTTTATTAGTGGGAGAATTTTTGGTCGCACGTTTGGGTTAGTCGAAATTTCGAACAGGGTTTGTTAGGATACTAGCTCATGCAGATTTCGGGGATAATAAAATTGTTTAGTTTCTAAACAATTTCTAACGCATCCAAGCTTGCACGAATCCCATAACTCATTGATAGAATCTCAAAAGTAACGAGATCATATTTACGAAACCTATCCTACGTTCTATCTTTTTCAAATGAAAACAATCTCGTCCGGGATAGTTTCTGAAACACTTCCTTCATTCGTTAAACAAGTGTTAGAGGACTTAATCTTTCAGATTACTCGTTTAATCAACCACGATATTCTGAATACTTTTATTAAACAAATTAGAGCAGAGAAATTAAAAAGTGTCTAACGAATAGAAAATTATTTTCCTTAAAATTGATAATTTTCATCACACACAGCTAAAAATTGTTTCTTTACAATTCAGCTGACAGTCCTTAAATTTTAGGGATCTCTAGTAAAATATTCTTAATACTCGCTATTTAGAATAAAATAAAACAACCCTATTTCGAGTGACACTGTTCTCGTTAAATAGTCTAATTATAATTACAATTTTACCGATGTTCTTTCAAATAAAAAATACCTCACTGTTACAGTCATTTCTAACGGTTCTTGAGGTATGTCACTCTCCTAGCAACCCTATATCCCAAAAAAAAAGAAGAACATCCCCAATAAAATCATACAACCTAATCAAAACAAACCCCCCTTGCAGTAAGTTCACCATTTTTCAAGTTCCCTTTGCGACGATCGCTCCCCAGCGGTCCTGTGAGCATTGCAAACGCGATTAACAGCCAACGTAACAGCGATCTGCGCGAAAAGGCGACGCGAGCAAACAGTGTGTCAGGGCCGGGTGACACTTGACCGTGGCGAATCGTCGTCGTAGCTGGCGCCTAATCTCGCGTGCAACACGGCAGGTCCGTGAAGGACAGCCAAATCCAATAACCCTTGACAAGTGTGACACGGTACGTGGCCTCTTTTACGATCGATCTTCTCTCTTTGCATCCTAGCACCGGGCTGCTCCACGATCAAACGTTTTCCTCGCAGAAGCAGTCATCCTGCACGTGGCCGCTCGAACAATACAACTCTGGCCGCACCCCGCTGTTAATAGTCGGGCATTAAATTTCGCCGGTGATATTACGAAACGGGGTCGTCTCTCCCCCATGCGATCCTCGACCTGAATAGGACGAGACGTCTGAAATATGCTTCCTAGCGCGTCAACCTTTAGGGGGATGTGCATGCACTCGTAGGACAATGTTACGGCGAGCGAGAGGGCAGAGTGGACGGTGGATCTTGAAACGTGGGGTTGCACGGTTTTCGGAGTTTGCTCCCTTTTCAAAGGACATTCGAAGAGGAGGACGTCGGAGTACGAGGTTCGATTGTTCGTGTTCGACGAACGTTGCAATAACTTGCAATTCGGTCGGTGCGGGTTCCGTGGATTTTCTACCGGGGGTGAATTATTAGAGATTACGTTGTGCAACTGAGCATGGTAGCGAGTGGTTTTTTGTGGACGGTGGAGAATTTTTTTTTTTTTTTGGGATACTTGAAGTAGGGAAATCAGTTGTGGTTGGAAGGTGGTGAACATAGTGTTTCTGTTCAATAAAGATATCGAATATCTTGAGGAGCGAAGGGTTACTTTTCAAAGCTTACTCTTAAATCTGAATTTTTTGACAATTGTCTTGTTAGTATAGCTACTGAATACTAAGTTATGGTGGAAAGGGTGGTAAGAATAGAATTCTTTTTTAATAAATACAGCCGTGAAAAATTCATTTGAATATTTCGAGGGGCAAAGGGTTATTTTTAAACGTCACTTTTTTCGCTTTAATTTACTACTTTGAGAATTATGAAATTGTTAAACGTTTTGGATTTTTCACTCTATAATTTGTAATGTTCGACAAGAGCAAACGGTGTTTTCGTTTAATAAATATAGGCGCGACAAATTCATTCGAATATCTCGAGAAGTGAAGGGTTATTTATTGCTGAATATTTTTTTTCTTTGGCAAGAATAAAGCGATCATCTATGTAAATCGAACGAAGAATAGTTTTAACTCGTATCAAAGGAGAACTATAATAACTATTATGTTTAAAATTAACCCCTTCTTCTGATACAACGAAATAAATTCTATTTACAGCAAAGCTTACACTTAATCTGACTTTTTCGGTTTTAATCTACAACTTTAAAAACGATCAAACACAATATGTCGACAAATAATTCAACGACATGAACGATGCTTCGAAATGGAGAAACCGAGGACTACGATGTTTCATTAGCGTTTCAATTATCTTAACCTGAGGTAAAACAGCGTACAATTAAAACGCGACTTCTTATTCCATACCGTCAAGTATAATTCGCGAATGAAAAGGCCGAAGCTGTTTTTATTAACGTGCGTGAACGAGAGTATCTGTAACGATGCATCTGTCAGCTTGAATTATTACAAATTCAACTCACGAACGCGTCATAATTGTGCCGCGGGGACTAAACTTGAAATGCAACTTATGCGGCCATTGTGTTAAATACGGATCTTTCAAGCGGTTGCTGCATACCTGTTGTGCAATCTTCGCGGATGTTGTTACACTTACGGTGTAAATAGCGTGCTTTAATAGTCAATAATAATTTATGGTAGGAGAAATAATCGACTTCGTAATTACAGAGAGGAAACTGATGGTGGAGCAATTATGAAATATCGAGCACACCGCTGTTATTACAATAAATCTCCTGTTCGCTGTAATGCACACCCTTGAAATCTACGATTAGATACTTTTAAGTATGAGAAAATTAATAAATTGCACCAAATAAATTATACCGATAAACATTGTACATCTCGTAGATACTTTGGAATTACTTTCCTCGCAGAATAAAGATACATAATCCCAAATTTCTATTCCACTGAAAATCAAATGGAAAACCTTCCAGAGATCTTAACGAAAACAAATGATTTTTTAAACAATAAATGTACCCAATACCAAAATTACATAAACGAAGTTGATCGATCGAAAATTTCTATTTTAGTGAAAATCAAACTGAGAACCTTCCAGAGACCTTAATCGGCCCAAATTATTTCTTTTACGCAATAAATGTATCCAGTACCGAAAATACACAAAGTTTACACCAACGACCAATTTCTATTTCGCTAGAAGTAAGTAAAAATCGAAGTGAAAACCTTCCAAAGTTCTTAATCGACATTTGCTCATTTTTCAACCTTTCTTCCTCGCTTCCCCATAAGGGAATGGTATTTCCCCTTACCTACTCTTCAAATCGACCAAAATCGCTGGGACACGCGAGAGGCAGTCGTTCAGGTGTAATAACCACGCGGAACAATAGATCATTACGAGATTGAGTTTGTCGGAAGGGCTGAAACGAGCCGGCAGAAGCGGATCCGCGTGACGTTTCAGGGCGGATGAGGACAAAGCGGTGGAACGAGGGGTAAGAAGGAGGCAAGAAACAGGCGGAAGAGAGACGACAGATCTCCTGGAATCCCCTAATTTGCTATTTCGGCTGTTGCAGATCTATCAAAAAACGCGATTCCGTCGGCTCTTCTTCTGTCGCTGAACTGCGAAACCACCGCTGGAACCAGCCTCGTGCACCGCGATGGGAACCGACCGGTTCGAATCTATCATGAAAACCCTTCAAAAGGATGGAATTTCTCGTTGACGATGCATCAGACCGCCGCGACGTATCGTGAACTACGGTTTCGCTGGAATCGAAATTACAAGCTCATTGGGTTAACTTGGGGGGATGGAAATGTACAGTTCAAAGGCAGAATCTTTCTCAAGATTAAGCGACAGGGAATCGACGGAGTCAAGGAAAACAGTATTCTTAAAGATATTTTATTTTATTCAGTATACTATGATTATTTTGGAAATTTTTTTTCTGTCATTTTTGCAGAAACATGGGCTGAATTGGACACAATTTATTGGCTTGTTGTGACGTATAGTGGAATCAGCGTGGACTGAAAGGATTAAATTGTCAATTTATTAGTTCATTGAAACGTATAGTGGAATATCGTGGAATCGGCGTGGACTGAAAGGACCAAATTGTCAGTTTATTTATTGAGCAAAATTTATTAGTTCGTCGTAACGAACAGTGGAAAATGCTTGGAGCAATTTTCTACCGTGGATTTCATTTTCTATTCCGTGGTAAATAAATGGTTAAAGCTACTACTTATAGTCTATATATCGATTTAATTGCAATTATCTGCTCTGGAACGTTCGTTTCATGGTGCTATTAAATTCTTCGGCTGCACAATAAAATCCGAATGAATGTGAGAATGTTAAAATAACGATAAATACTAAGAAGCCGTTGATAAGAAGATCAAATATTATATATTGAAAAAATTAAATATTAGAAAATATTTCAAAAGAAGTCCAAAATG